CTGCTTCATGTCTGCAAGGGTAAAGGGACCCCAGTGATTTTTCAAAGACGTTACCTGCAACCTGATCTAGAAATGATGCTCAGCAATTGTAACAAGAAACACCTGCCAGTTCTGCACTGGGCAGCTACATCAGATCCTATAAGCTGAGGAACTTACAAAGAAGATGGCATGTGGGAATCCCTAGAGGTTCTAGGATTTACAACAGCAGCAACAAAAAAAAAAAAAAAAAAACAACAACAAAAAAACCAACCAGCTGTAACTACAGTCATAGCAAATACTTCTACCTTGCAGATGCTGCAAGAGACTTACATCATACAGCAAACAAGACAAAAGGATTTTACAAAACTACTACAGGTTTGGGTTTTTTTTTTTTTTTGCTTGGTTGGTTTTGGGTTGTTTTGTTTTGGGTTTTCTGTTGTTTGTTTTTTTGACACAACATTCACTTGCTGACTGCATACCCTGATAGGGAGGATACTGCCATCAGCAAGCAGCATACAGGCCATATCTTTCCCTCTGATACTAAATTATACATGGAAGATATGAGGTGGCTAATCACTGGAGGAACAAAGAGTTTGATACATTCACTTACAGTGTAGGATGAAGCAAGGACAGGAGCTAGCCAGCCAAGAAACCAAGTGACCAGTCCAATTCCAATTACAGAGCCATGGCCACAAAATAGTGCCATTACTACAGACATAATCCTCCCTCTGCTCGCTGTTGTGGTGGTATCCCATCTCTGTGAGCTCTGCCTCCAAGGGATAGTTGAGGGGCCCTTCCAGTACCTAGAAATCCTGCACAGTACACTCACTGCAGGCAGAGCCAGCCTTTATGCTGTTAACTTTAGAGGCAGGACACCTGATGTTCATGCTAAAGGAGGGGCACCTGGTGGTTATCTCCTAATTGGTTGGCACCCAAGGCTGGCCAGGCACTGGGAGAAAACCAATCAGGAAGGTCTTTCCTGCCTGGTTGTGGACATCACCCACATGTCAACCCTGATTCAGGGCTGGAGGTCTAGACCCTAACACTTTAAACATACAGTAAAATACCAACATCAAAGTCTTTTATATGAGAACATCTGAAGTAGGAGTGGTCAGTGTTTATGGTTTGATATCTCAGCCTGAACAAGAGACAGGGGTATTCAGAACACCAGAAGAATGTGAAGACATAAGTCATATTTTGCTTTAGCAAAACAGAGGTTGGTTTCAAGACAGAAAATAATTTTTCCCCAACTGACAAAGGTGAAATATAAAAAATTGTCCTATATCTAATTTGCAGTTCTGCTTGGGAGCTTGAGAAATCTCATTTGCACAGTTATCAATATACCCAGGCATACATGTTTCACAATTAGGGCCTTAAAATACAAACAGTTTGGATTCTACATTGAGAAAAGCATAAAAATAGAACAACAAGTACTAAAAATAGTACCTAGGGAAAAAAGCTCGGCTTGTATTTGTGTTTGTAGAACACAGTGCTATTCTATATTCATAGCAAATGTATCACTAATTTTCAATCAATATTCCAATACTTTCTAAGCTAATATCCATTTGATAATGAGTAAAATTATTGCAGTTGTTATAGTTATTTACTTTTATTAGACACTTGTACAATACAAAAATACCAAATGCATTTTATATCTACCTAAGTGCAGTTTTATTTTGCACAGAAACTTCCAAAAGCTAGCATTTTCTCATTATTTATATTGTCCTGGTTTTGGCCTTTGTTTTTCACACTTAGACAGGAATTTTTATATATGAAGGGACATGTAAAGTTTTATATATGGTACTCAAAATACTAAAATTTTTAGTAATTATACTCAATGTAGCATTAATAATTAATCATGTACTTAAACTGAGTACTTGCATTTTTAAGTTTTGTAATAACCAGCTTATAAAAACTAGATGGATTGCTATAAAATCATCACAGAATACTAGATTCTACTTATTACACTTTGGAAAATCAAAGATCTACCATCATCTTTGTTTACAGAGATAAAAAAATATCGCAGATGATCAAAAAGTTAATTAGATTTGGGTAAAGGTAATTATTTTCCCATTTTCTTAACAATATATTTTTCAGTATAGTAAAGTTGCCTGAGATATCTTATGATGGACAAGCTATATATGTGATTAACATCATGACTGAAAAGAGACTTCACTTCCCAAAAGGACTGAGATACTTAATTTTACCATTGTTCACATAATATTACCATTTCCTTCTTCTATATCCACAGAAATTTGAACGAGCAAGCTAAGACAGCTACTTTTATCTAAAATGTTCGAACAGAATCTTCACACTTTCTTCTGAGCAGAAACTGTTTCAGGTATTATGATTTTTCAAGGATGATAAAAGCAAATATTACCATCATCAGTATAAGTTGGCTGCCATGGACAGATTCTTATTTTACTCCCTTTTCATGTATACTTTTAAGGAAAAGACATGTAAGTAAACTTCTCAGGGAGATGAAAATAAATTTATATCAAGTAAAGAGACAAGTACACTCAACAGCCTATTCTTTTTCATGTTGAAATAACTACTCCGTACAATAAAATGGAATATCTTGAAAAGGAATATATTTTAAAGTTTAAACTTTTACAAAAAATAAAAAAAAAGTCATATAATTTCTAGCTCAGAAAACTGCATTATTTTAAGTTACCTCTTCACTCATCCAGCTATCCCTATTCTGCTTGCTGATGTCACATTTAATTCTTTGATGTAAAACATCTGATGGAACACCAACAAACATCAGCCATGGTTTAATGGCAGCCAGAGCAAAGGTTTCCTGAGAAATTTAAGATTCTAGGTTTAGTGGGAGCTGGTGTGAGTGAAATAAGTCTTCATGTGTTGTCCTCTTTGGATTTCTGCCAGACCATTCAGTTAAAGGCCCTGCAGTTTCATATCTATAGAGTTCAAAACTTCCAAAATGGAATATGGCTTTCCAGAGATCCTCAAGTATTTTTATTTGCTGCTTTGAATTTTTGGCTGAGAGATCCTCCTTTTCCCAACAGTTACTATACAGGCACAATTGTTTATATGCTCTCAAAGCTGGCTTCCAATGCTAGCAAATAAACTGAAAATGTGAATTTTCATTTTTGGATTTACTACTTATAGTGATTCTTGGAATGTGGTAAACAAATCAAAGACACATATAAGGAGGTAAGAAGAGGACGTGGTATCGGCCATCGCAGATATATGATCGTCTCTTACATTTAGAAGAGAAAAAGCAAATTGAAGTTCTGTGTAACAAAGTCATAGGCCATCTTTAGTCCTAGAGTCTAACATTTTCTATTCGCGGGGAACCTCTGAAAATCCTAAAACAGCTGACGAGATGCTCTGGCTAGAGATGGAGAAGATTAAGAAGTCAAGTCATCTATTTTGACCAGAGAATTATTAAAATGATCTCCCTTATTTTTATGCTTTCAATTAAAAAAAAAAAAAAAGTCCATTCTCAGATGAATCTGAAAATTTCCTTTGATGTATGGAAGTGACCTACAAGTCTTTAAGCATGTGGTGTGAAAATACTGAGCCACTAACTTTATACAGAGTGTGGGAAGCAAAATATAGTAAACAGAGAGGCCACAGCTTTAATAATTACCTAGCCAGTAGACAGCTCAAAACTAACTGAGAGGCTGTTCTAGTACACATCTCAGCAGAAATACTTCAGAAGTGTGAAGATCTTTTCCACCACACCCCACTTTAGCCCTGGAAATATCCAAACACTATGCACTTAGAAGGAGTATTGGGAAAAGGTCACCACTTGGAAACTTAGTAGTACCAGAATAAAAGTTTGTCCTCCTCAAAATTTATGAGTTTTGAAGGGTTGTAGGTCTCGACAGCAAGCTCTGCGATGCGCAATAACGAACATCAGATCTGGATCTTTTTCTTCAAAGCAAACCATCAAATTATACTTTATATGTCATCCTCCTCAAAAATTACTACAGAAAACAAAACTGCATAAAAAGACTATAAGATCTTTGCATTCCCTGCAGAGAGCTGAGCAAATGCAATATAAAATTGTACAACATTAATATATTCAAAACATTTTCAGTTCCTCAACAGACCTTACTAATATTTTGGTTTTTATTTTAAAGAGGCCTTGTTAGCATCACGTTGATACTTCTTTATGTTTCTTCCAAGAGTCTTGACAAAATACAAGCACTCTCCTTCCAGGTGCTTCCATGCAACCAGTTATATTAAGGCCTTTTCCTCCAAAGAGGACAGAAATCCTCTGCACCAAAGAATAATATTTGGGGAAATGAATGTGGGGCAGTCTAAAGAAAATATTACATTATATCAGGTTTAAAAGGAAGGTGGGTTTTTTTGTAACATTTTTTAGGGCTTTTTAAAGTTAATTTTGTGACCAGATGGCAGTCAAGTGAACTAACGCCTCCTCTAATACACCTGCAGGTTCATTAACCTGACCAGAATAAACAGATCACACGCAGTCAAAGGCAAGATATACAGTTTTATAAATGTGATAAAATAAATTGAGCTTTGTCACTGAAACTTACTATAAACATATCTGTCACAAAATTATATTTGATTGTCAACCTAGCCTTGCTTCTAAATATTTTGAACTAAAATTTTTTTCTATTATTATATAATTAAAGAGTAACATGTAACTCTGGAAATAAAAAGGCAAAGAAAGGGAAATTCCTTTTAAAAAGTCCTGTTTTCTATGAATAAATCAAAATATTTGTCAAGCTACTTTGTAGCAGATTCATACAATTTTGTTTCACCAAATGGCAGAAAAATAAAAATAGCATCTACTTAAAATGCCGCATTTCTATTCAAAACATTAAAATAAAGTGGTTTACGGGGAAAAGTAAATTCAGCAACAAATATTTCAGACATATTTTGGCAAAAAAATCCCCCAAAAATTATATGTCAAAGTACATTTGATCAGACAGTTATGAATAGCATTGGGATTGGACAATCATTTATATGCTTGCAATATTTTACAATGCAGTAAATAATTATTTCATAACCTAGAAGGATCATACCTGAAATGGCTTAGAGCTCCTGATATAGAGTGTCTGTCTGATCCACCTGTTTCCTTGATTTCCAAACTTGTTCCACAACAGCCATCCCTTGGTATTACTCACAGTTCTCTGGAAGACTGCTAGTTTGTAAACTTGCTTTCCAAACATATGGTAATGAAAGTGAAAAATGCAGGTTCTGTTGCTGGTAGGGTTGAAGAGAGGACTAAGCAAAACTGCTTTGTCTTTGAATTGGCATGGCTCAGAGGATTCCATGTAGAGGTAGTGTCCCCTGGCTGTGCCTGTTGTGTGGTCCTTTAATGGACCTGTATTAACCGTGGGAGTTGGACCCTGGATTCTGATCCAGTCAAAGTCATCCTCAACATCCTGCTCCCAATTGCACAGCCCATTTTCAAAGTTGCACTGTAAGTCAGGGTCTGAAATGTAAACAGAACCGACTGTCAGGTGAAAGCAGTATCAGAAGCTGATTGCGCTTTAGTATCTTTTTCTTCTTGCAATAATTTCCTTCTAATACAGAGAAAAATTCCTATCTTCTCCTTTCAAAAATTCCTCTCTGAAGAACAAATATACCCTTGCCTAGACAAAAGAAGAAATATAAGTCTTTACTTACCTCCTATTTATATATATGGCAAACTGTACATAATTAATTTGTTGAGTAAACAAAACTGCAAATAATATGGTGTTCTTCAATTTATATATTTTTATAACTGATTATACTAATTAATTCTAATGTATAAAATGTGTATCAGAGTGGAGAACTTGCATTTCATCTTTGCATCTGCCCTTCATAAACAATAACTGACATAATAGTTAAATTTATTTTATATTATATTAATATTCTTGCATTCTTAAAATTTATGAATGCATGCTTCAGGGAGAAAAATCACAGCACCGCTGAGCACTGGAAGGTGAATGTCAAAAAAGTGAATGACCCATAGCTTTGCTCAGTACTTTAAAGTTCTTTCTTTGTAAGGGATAACTATGTCCAGAATGACTAATATCTTCCAGCACAGGAACTTTAACATTTTCTAGGTGGAAAGAGTATAGGTCATGAAGGGTTCTCTCAGTCCATATATGTCTTCCACTGTACTTCCATCAGTATAAACAAAACCAGCATGTTAACCCAAATGAACTGGAAGACTGAATCCTCACTTTCAAAATAAACTTGTAATGCATATGTGTGTTTTGCAAAACACAAAACAAATATGACTCATTTAGATAAAGGAGATTGAATTTTACTCTCAGTTGTAAGTCATCATATGCATTTAAGTTAAAAATTTTCAGAGACTGTTTCATCAGTAACTATATTCAGTCAAATCATCACTGACTGTGACATTGATAGGCTGGAACAGTGCTGTCTATTTTCACTCCAGAGATAAATCTGGCAACTCACTTTGGATTTCATATAAACAAAAATGGAAAGTACTTACTGCAGTTATCTTCATCTGATCCATCCCCACAGTCATCCACAAGATCACAGACCAACAAACTGTCAATACATGCTTTCGTGTCTCTGCACCAGAAATGAGTGGGATCTTCACAACTTAATGCTGGAGGTGGAAGAGCACAGTTTTCAAATATAATATCATCAATTGCTGAAATGCCGTCATAAATACCCAGACTGATTTTATCAAGTGATAATTGGAAAGGATGTGGAAGACGTCCAAGCTGAATGACTGCCTTCAGCCATTGATTTCCCTCGCTGTAGTATGTCCTCCAAAGGATAGTAGGCTGTTTCAGCCCATCCACAAGCAATTGCATTTCTGCTGCCCCAACTGACTGTCCATAATTGTAATACCTAAAATGATAAAAAAAAATAATTAAGGGTGCAAACTATAAGAATGGACTACATCTCATATAATGGCCAGTATCTTTTTTGTCATAGCTCTGTCAAATATAGGAGGTCCACAGTGCCTATTTCCAGTTTATTTGTAATTCAGTCAATTTTCTGTGTGATGGTATAGTAGGCTGCTGTACCAGTCTAGGGCTTATTTCAAGACTTGAAGATTGTGAGAGAAGAAGTATATCTCATTAAATTAAAACCCATGATTGAAAAGACACATTTGCTTTCATATTAAAAAATGGACAATGCTCATTCAGATTCATAATATGTTTTTTATAAATTTAATTCAATATATAATTGTAAATTTTCAAGAAGGAAAACCAAAACACTTATTGAATGCAAAAGTATACCTTCTGTCTGCTGTATTTACTGTTAACATGTATTTTACAGCATTATTGGAGGATCTCAAAGTGTTTAAAAATCATAAATATTTAATAAGCAATTGTAGAACAAAAATGTTGTACAGGAACAAAGCCAACAACTTGCAATTTCCAGACTTATACTCCAACTTCAAGTCTTGAGTCTTTGATAAAAAGACAGTTCTTATTCCTATGGCAAATGTATTTGACACTACTGAGTAAAAAACAGCACTTAATAATATCAAAGACAGGTCAAACATTTATATAAACAGTAGCACCACTTTTGACCTTAGTATATAAATAATCACAATTTACTTTTTTTGTCCCTCTTTGACAAGACAGCACAAAGGCTGAGATAAGACACTAACCGAAAGGCTGAGGAGATGTGTTTTGATGAAAGCACTGGAAGCAAAGCTCCAGTTCTTGCACTGGGGCTTTCACTTAAAGATGTTAAAATATAATTTAGGTACTGTAGATGACTCAAGAAGCTACCAGGTTTTTGGATGGTTTCCTGTTCTTGAGCAGTACTCCAGAACGTTTTCAAATTTACTTAACCAAAGTAGAAATGTTAGCACAATGACTATGGTATCTGTCTATATATACCTAGACAACAAACTCATTCCATGTCTCAGTTGTGTTCTCCAAGTGCTTCAGCTTATTTCTGCATATTGTTCATGTGAAGATTATATGATTAAAGAATAAAAAGAAATAAATCCTGCAGAGGAAGGCATGTCTGTTGCAAACTATAACCTCATTTTCAATCCAATGTGAGATGACCCATGAATGTTAAATAGGAATTATTTCATACCAAAAAGACAATGTGCAATTTGATCCAGTTTGCCTGAACTTTGGGCTTCGTAGCTGAGCTAGTTGTGAAATGCTGCTGCTGTTTTTCAGAATGAATATAAAATGACCTGTCAAAATAAAACAGAAAACAACTTTTCAGGCTGAAGAAAAAGTGTTTCTGAAGGGTCTTTAAGCATGGACGACTTCCACTTAAAATCTGATTAAAGAGCAGGTACATCTATTCCATTTCTCTGTTTCCAGGCCTGGCTTGTCTTACCTTCAGGTTTGTTGAGGGTGTGATCCTGCAAAGGAGCTTGCTTCTGAAAAGCAGGTGCAAGAGCACTACTGGAACTTCTTACCCAGTCAAAATCATCTCCATTTGCAGTTTCAATCCAACCACAGCTGTCTCTCTCAAGGTCACAAACAGCAGCTGAAAGGAAGAGATATTTTACTTTATCTCTGTGCATGACATTACTAATCAAGCTTTGCAGTATCAAAAGGAAATATAATATTTCTAGTACATCACAGATATTCTAGAAGGAAGTCTAGGAAAGGGGAGTGGGGAGGCAGAGTGCAAGATGAGATATTTATAACGTTTGGGTAAGACAGCAGTCCCACAAGAACTCATGCCATTGTTACATCCAATGCAAACCAAAGCCTTCCCTCTAAAGGCACTGCATCGAAAGCACTCAGAGCAGGTGCGGAGGCACTGAAAACAGCCCTCACAATCCTCATGTTACAGATCAAGAATATAGAGCACACAGTTCAGTAACAAGCCTTCTGCAAGGTCTTTTAGGGAATCAATGTTGGAGCAAGAAATCAAAATCCTTTATTACCTCAATTTCAGGAAGTGTGTTTATGATAACAAACCTCTTCCTCTAGTTATAATAGGAATTAAGTGTCAGGTATTACTGAGATACTATGATATTGACAATCTGTGGAACACAAACTACTGCAGTGAAAAAAATTTGAAAAACATTGTCCTGGTTTGAACTAGAACAGAACTAATTGTGTTCAGTGATTTTACTTTTCAGCTAAGCCTCTTCTAACTAACTGCACTTTCTGAAGTTAATGGCATATTTTTGCAGACAGTATCTGCATCTTGAAGTGATAATGCTTGAAGTTTACAGTTATTACAAAAGACTGGTATGCAGAAAGGATCTTGCTTATACTTGCTTCTGTGCAGATGAAGGTCACTGCTAAATCTTGTGTACTATATTGGAGAGTCACACAGCAAGAGGCAACACCTATGGGGTGGAGTGGACAGGACGGTGACCCTGAACTGACCAATAAGGTGTTCCATCCCATATGTGCCATATCCAGTATAAAGTTGAAGGATCGCAAAGGTCAAGGTCTCTTCTCCAATGGCTGGCATCTAAGGAAGACTCTGTCCATTCTGCCTTCAGTCCTGATTTGTGCATCCTTGAATCCAATTCCAGAATCCAGCCCCTGAATCTGGTTTCCATCTGCCGCTAAGTACAGTCTGGGATTTTCCCAGTGCCTGCTCCACAGCATCAATAGTGATGGTGAAAAAATTGTCATCAAGGGAGTTGGTTTTGATATTGGGTTTGTATATATTTGTATATAGCTAATTTTATTGTTACTTCTTTCCTTAAGCCTGTTTTTGTTTTCCAGTCCATAAGTGTCTCTCCCTTACTCCCTTTCTCTTCCTCTTCTGGGAAGGAAGATAGGAAGATAGCATCTCTCATTCATCTAGTGCCCAGACCAGCCCTAACCCTTGACGTATATTCAGCTGCATTCTTCAATTCTTCATTTAAAAGAACAGTTACTTTTTAGAAAATGTGTCTGATAAAAAATAACGAAAAGAAAGGAGTGGAAGGGCGTCATATGCAAATGAATGTAAATTGACAAGGTTATCGTGTTAAAATGAGGAAACAGGTTTTCCTCTTCTGCCCTTAAAAATATCCTCATTAATTAAATTTTTGAGCCCTGTAATTGTAATAGCTTTCAACAGAAAACATTACAAGATTCTTTTTTGAGCAATACTAGATTTATCCAATAACCACTGGATAAATAGAAAAATATTCAGAGTTGACTGTCAGAGTGCTACTGTTGTTCCATAACATCTTATCACAGCTTCCAGTGGCCGTATCATTACATTATAGAAAATGTACATTTCAGAATCAAATGAAGACTCATGAAGAATAGGATAAATATAAATGTTTATTTATGGAAGATATGGGAGGGGTTTTGATATATGTTTTTTCTTCTTTAAGAACTCTGTCACATTAAGTTATATAGCATTTGTTAGAAAGAATGAAAAAAATACTAACCAGGCAAGATAGTATTATTGTTGGTTAGGGCTTCTTTAGACACGATTTTGTGGATTATTAAGCAAAGCACAGAGAAATCCACAGTTATTAATTCTGCTTCAAAAAATCATTCCACTAATATGGGTGATAAAATAACATGTTAGAGATCAAAAAAAATTTGAGTTTTCTATGCATATAGTGCATGTAGTTCAGAAATGTCAATGATAAAATTATATTAAAATTATCAAATATGAACAAAATAAAGGAAGAAACTTTTTATATAATAAAATGAAGACAAAAAAAGTTTGCAAATATTCAAGGACCTAAGCATGACAGAAATTACTGAAACTCCACTGACAGAACATAACAGAAAGGGAGTATGGAGAGTTATTTCTGATTTGCTTTTTGCTTGACAGAAGAAACTGTCCTATATTCCCAGAACAGCAAGAAAGGATATTACAAACTTTGGAGACAAATGGTTACACCAAAAGAGGCAAATAAGCAAGAAAAAAGTGTTAAGTCTGAGACCAGTCTTGCATCTGTAACTTGAAATGGAGAGAAAACATAAAAGGAGCAAAGCACCAGAACATGCATTTAACTTGAGTATGGATGAATACACTGAGATAAAAAAAAACACCCTAAAACCTTCAACTAAATCTCAAACCAACTATTTAACATCTAGAGAAGATACAAGAAAAGAGCAAGGTTGGAATATACTTGGTTCATGATGCTTGGTAATTTCAATTACCTAATTGTACCATAATCTCTTTGACTTGTCTTTGACAGATTATCCAGAAAGGAATGTAGTTGCTTGAGTACCTCTGTAGTTTCTTTCAGAGTAAGCACACATAAACTAACATACCTTCTTTCCTAGTACTTTGTTTTCTGCCTTTCTCCTGTTTCCTATTTTCCTAAATGCCCTTCCGCAAGACTACAGGATTATCAGTCTCTACATTCCCCTGAAATCTGTCTCACAGCTCATGAATGTTTATGCAGAATGCACAATAAAGAAATCCAGGTGAAATGTTATTGTTATTATTATTATTGTTAGCTGACAACTCTTTCTTTCACTTTGGCGGTAGTTTGAGCAACCTAAAGATGTCCCTGCTCACTGCAAGGGGGCTGAACTAGATGACTTTTAAAGGTCCTTTCCAACCCCAAACATTCTATGATTCTAGGAACAGACAAATATGACTTGTACATAATGCATGAATGTATATACCTCTTTTGAAATGAGGAACAGATTTGCGTACAGAACAGTCATGTTACCAGAATACTGTCCAATCTGATTTTATTCCTTATCTCACCATGTTCATCATTCTTAGGTTGGAAGAGTGAGCATTCAGACTCTATCAAATGCATAGGATGTAAACCTTAGAAATTATAATGTAAATACATCTTACAGAACATAAACACACAATGTGATGGGTTTGTTAGGTCATTGCTGTAAAAACTTGAAAAAGGCAGGGTTTTTTTCACTTCTGTTGTTAGTGCATGGAAATCATGTATAACAGCTTTATAGCCAGAGTAAATTCTTCAGCTGTAGAAGAAAAGCTGTGACCTAATAGGAGTAGTGGTACTCAACAAAAAGAACTGACTTTGTAATTTTACTTTTTTTTTTTTTTACTTTTCTAAACTAATCAGAATATTTTTTTTTTTAAGTCCAGGACTTGTATTTTTGTAAAATGCAACTAGAAACCTGGAAGAAAGAATGATCTCATCACACATAATCTCATCTTAGAGTGTGATTCTAAGACCAAAGTGGAGCAAACAAATTCACTGATAGATTTGTATACGAAGAAAAGTAACAAAGATAATTTCTGGGAGCTCAGAAAACTACACTGAGATAAGAAAAACAATCCAAGAAGTAGACACCTTCAACAGAATTATTTTACTCCTGACAGAATGAAGAACTCATCTGAGAGATAATGAAAAGCAAGAGATGACTCAAGAATTGATGCTACGAGATGAGAAAATTGCAAGGAGATGCTGCTTGTTCGGTGGACTTGGTGCATCCAAGTACTTAAGAAAATCAACTTGTTGGAATTTAAGATAAAAGTCTTAAAATATTTTGAAAGATATTTTGAAAGATATTTTAAGCCCATGTAACATCCCTGCCTGGTTCTCATATCAAGAGGAAAAATATAAATTAAAAAGGCTAAGGAGCATACAATCACCAGCATATGGAACACAGTGGAAAAAAAATGTTAATGTTGATGAAAGGAGCAACATAGTTGTAGGTGGTGAATTCAACAAAACATCTGTGCTTAGTCAAGCTAAGAAATCAGGAAAAGTGACTGAGAAAAACAGAACCTCATTTTAAGAAAGGTAATCAGAAAGCAATCCAGACTACAATAACCAAATAATACACAGCATGCGTAAGCATACTTTGAACAAAAGTACAAAAACACATGAAGTAATTCAAAGGTGACAGAGTGTAGTAAGGTTTTTAATATGAGTAACATGAAAGGAATAAAGAAATAATTCTTCTCAGCAGTGCTCATTGAAATCAGCAGAAGCAATAGGCACTTGTACTGTGAGGTTGCTCAGACATTGGAATAAGTTGCCCTGAGCAGCTGTGTGTTCTCCATCCTCAGAGATACTCAGAACCCAACTGAGTAAGGTCCTGGGCATCCTGCTCCAGTGGACTTTGTTTTGAGCAGGGGGGTTTAACTATGATCTTCAGAGATCTCTTCCAACCTCAACTATTCTATAGAAAGAGCAGAATTTTTTCTTCAGCTTCATACTGGACCACAAGAGGAAAGATATTCTGCATAGTGAACATTTAACAGTTATTTCTAGTTTTACCTAATCAAACAGCTACCTAATAAAACAGAATTCAGTTTCCTAACTTGGAGCTCTGTATATTTTGGATACAAAACTTACTGAACAAGTGAAACACTGGACACCAGTGTTCTAGTCACGAAAGACTGGAAACTAAAACTGGAGAGAAAAATAAAAAAAAAAAAAGCTGTAATTATTTATCTGAACTGCTAGAAGTCAAACAGATATTTATCAGAGCCACACCTTTCAAATTTCCTAATGAAAAAGTATAAAGTTAAGCATGGATTTTGGATTGTACTAGAACCTATGAGGAAGTTTATAGTCACAAACTATTGTAAGGATCTTGTCTACAATATTTCTGTTATTTGTGGGAATGTTAGAAACTATCACACTTTTTTTTTTAATACTGTACTAAATATTGCTCTTGGCAACTCCCTTTGAAAATGAATCATGACTTTCATAGCACACTATTAGTTCAATGCAAAAGCAGTAGACTTCTTTTCAAAGATGGAAAGTATAACCATGATTTCTTATGGAGAATGGGAATTGAATGAATCCAAAAAACTTTTGAATCTACATATTAGAGGCCTTGAAAACATTAACTCCCTATTGACTGCAGTGGAGAGGAACTCTGGGATCATTATCTCCCTCTACTTCTCCACATCTCAGTTTCCATGCAAAGCAAACTCAGGCACATAGGCCAGACAGGAGTCACAGCACATCCTCACAGAAAATGTTGACACAGCCTGAATTGTATCTGTGACTATGCCTGTGCAGATGCTTTATCTACCAGTCCAACTCTGGTACCTTCAATATCAAAATTAAATATACAATTAAACACATACAATTTAAATGTGAGTCTGCAGCCACTGCATTTCTCATGCTTCCTGTCCCACTCTTTCTCAGGTCTAATTGCAGGACCATGTACACTTAAGACGAGGCATCTCACACAGTGGTCCCACAGAATTTCCATATTTGTACAAGTGTAACGTATTTTCTTCTTTTGTTTTTTTTTGTGTGTGTGTAATACTGTACATGTGACAGCATGGTGCAAAAGTGTGTGCACAAGTTCTATTTGGGTTTTTTTTTGCTTGGTTGGTTGGGGTTTTTTTATAGTGATTTCCTGAGTCAGTTTTCAGTATTTTACAGATTAACTGTACCTGATATTTAGCATTTTAAAAATTATAGATTAAAATTCTGTATTTTAAGCAACTCTTTCTACTAAATACATAATCAAAGACTTTTTTTTCCAGTTTTAATGCTAAGAGGGAAGCATTTGCTACAGAAAATAGAAGGTGAAAAATGCAGAATAGAATCAAAAGAAACTATTTCTCAAAAGCTTTTATTTTTAATTCAATTACAACATTTACAAAGTCATTACAGCCTGGCATACAGGGCAAACAAGCATAGTCACAGAAGTCTAACAACTTAGATTTTGAAATTTTCACTTACGGCACTTTGCTTCATCATGGCTATTTGAACAGTCCGGTGTAAAATCACAGCATCTGTCAGATGAAATACATTGTCCATCCCCACATGAAAAAAGTCCCGGTAGACAATAAGAAGATGAAGAACTAGCATCTGAAAATTCTATTTCCCCTTAAAAATTGGAAAAGAAGATGTAAGTAAAAACACATCTATATAAAACTCTAAGTGCTTTTTATCATCTTTGAATATAGTAAAGTACTGAAGATAGGGAACGTAGTATCCCCTATGAAGCTAGATTATAGAATCATGGAATAGTTTTGGTTGGAAAAGACCTTTAAGATCAAGTCCAACTATTAACCCAGCACTGTCATGTCATCACTAAATCACATTCCTAAGCACTATATCACAACTAATATGAAACACAGCTGATATTAACATCTCTGATGCTCTTAAACTATCTACTATTCTCCATGATATTCAAACTCTTCTGAGAAAAACTATTAATAACACCTTAAAGTTACACAGCCAGGCTCCAGTTCAGAGGCAAGGTGCTGTGTATAGCAGCCTGCTGATCCTCCTGCAGCTAGGAGTTGCTCTTTCAGAAAACCTTTCTGCTGTCATGGTGGTTTCTCTGCATTCAGCTCACAATGAGAGCTCTTGAGAAGTCAAAAGTTTGATTTTGCACCACTACAAGCTTGCACTTCAATCTGCATTTTAGAAAACACCCCAAATTTCAATGAATAGGGAAACAAAAAGCTGAGGACTGTTGGTTTTACTTCAGTAGATTTCTGGAAAGAGAGCAAGTGAGAGGAATGATGTGTAGCTTGCCATCTTTTTTTTTGTTTAGCTTTTTTAGATACTCATATTGTTATCCAGACAGAGCTTTTTTGAAAAATGATCCCTTCTGAGAATAGTATCTTTGTGACTGATGGGAAAATAAGGGAGTTTTAGGGAAAATTAGACTGTATATATGGATCAGAGAAGCCTGTAGAATACCACACTGAAGTTCTCTATTATGCCTTTAAATTTTCCGGTAAGGAAGAAATTCAGATATCTGCTGAGTATAATCCATCAGTGTTACCATTGATTATGTGTGTGCTCATGCCATTTCAGAAAAGTAGCTATTAATAGCCAAAATTACCAGAAGCAGCAGTCTGACAGAAGGTTGCATTAGTTTACTTTTCCATCTGTTGGCATTTCACCATTTACAGAGTGTGAGTACACAGACAAATTTGGTGGGCTCTTACTGTATGGCTGGATTTTGACAGTTACGATGGGAGAACCCTCTTGCACTAAAGATAGTGCTTTGCTTCTGTCTCTGCATCTAAGTGTAACTGTGGGCAGGTACCATGCAGTAAGTGCTATCTGAAAATTGTCACCACAGCTCACTTCACAGAAGTAGTACGAACTACCTATAGGAGCTCGTGTGTAACACAGGATGAGTCTCTTCATTATAGATGATTTATTACAGCATATGGACATTTTCCTCAGATTTTCCCCTGCTTTCTTAAAGACATCTTGAAGTTGTCAGTTGAATCATAGTTATACCTAACAAATATAAGGGAAAATGTATTGAAAACCACAGAACTTGCCTTCACTTTCTTGGTTTACACTTGGAATTGATTTATTTACAACTCTACATTCCTCTGTTATACTGATGTCATCAACAGCAACAGTAGCATTTCTTGTTAGAATAGTAGCTCGTAAAACAATCTGTAACGACCAATAAGTTAGCTCATTAAAATTGACATGATAAGCAGATATATATGTATATATTAATTTATAAATTACAACATTTGCACAGGAAGTAAACACTACCTCCTTAAAACTCCAAATACCAGCCAGTAAAATCTGTCCCTGAGATTTGACCCAAGTCATAAATTTACTCCTCAACTGTCAAAGCCATAACTACTTTTACTTATGGAAAGTTATACAACCCAGGTGACCTTGCATCTATCTAAACTGGTAAAAGCCATCACTACTTGAATGAATTGTCTTCCTGCTAGAGCCATTAAGTTACACATCTTTTAAAACGAGCTCTTCAGGGTTGCCAAATGTGATGGTTTACAAGTCCATTTAAATGTGTTCATCTGTACTTCTGGCTGAAGTCAACAACATGTGATACGGTAAAGGTAGGGAAGGTAAAGATGCATTTGTAAAGAGAAGGAGATATTCAGGATATCATAAAAGGAAGTCAAGTTCAGTCCTAACTTGCCCATAATGAGAATTGAGTGCGCTTTCTTTTAGATAATTTTACAGATGAGGCATAAAATGAAAAGACCAAAACTGGAATTTTGGTTTGCTGAATCCTTGTATGTGAGTTGGTGATTCCCAATTAGCAAAACTGCTTATTGGTTCTGTGATTAATGCTGCAAATTGAAATATTTGCACTACTCCTGCTTTTAGTCAACATAATTAGGCCTGCATTCTGATCAACAGTTTTTATAGCAAGATCATTTCTTAAAAGCTACTACACTATCACTACTTGATTTTTATTATAAAAAGGTGATTCTAATACATACCAGACTGAGACAATAGTGATGTTCTTTAATAACTATCTACTTAAAGAACTGAATGGAATTCTTTCTGATATGAGCATTAAAAAATAGAAATTCTTTTCTATATTTCATTATAAATGTAAATTCATTCTAAAACACAAATTGGAGTAATTTTTTGAAAGCAATGTAAATGTAATTTGCAACTACCTGAAAAGGTAAACCCTCAGTTACGCTTTCTGTAGGTATATTCACTTTTGTCCACTGCATCTCAGACAATCCTGCAATGTCACACAATTTTTCCAAACTTCCACCCCACGCAGTTCTCTTAAAGACAGAAAGCTGGGAATCCGGAGATAACCAGTACCAAAATCTTACCTGTTGGAAGAGTTTTTAATGAAATGCTTAAAAATCTGTAACATCAATCTGCAATAAATTCAGTACCCACTCATATACATACGTTACAACACAGAACAACATGACAGGTTTAAACATAACCTTTGCATAAAAGAAAGAGACTTATGAAACTATGGCATGCTGAGGAACAGTATTATGTCTGAAGATAAAGTCATCATTAAAAGTAAAGCTTATTTTTAAAACTTATTTTTAACCTGTTATCTATCAGCTGATGCAAACAACTTCATAACTAAGCTAATCTCACAAGTGTAACAGTTGAGGTACTTATATGAGAGAAAACTTATGATCTTCTATTTCTACAAACAAAAATGAAAATTATGTGAAGATAAATGTTTAAAATAATCTATTGAACGCCTGAAACAAGTGGATTGAACAATACACGAGAAGGAAAACTAACGACTGTAGGTGGATGAGGTTACAATCAACTGCTTGCCAAGCAGAAAAGACCAGAAAACTGAGAATCCCAGTTCAGTATGCCTCCCTTGCAATACAGAGTAAACCTTATGCTTTTTGTTGCTGTTAGTTTCGGTTTTGGGGTTTTTAATACTACTCAGATAACAATTCAGCCAAAAACTGAAGGGATGAAGTAGGATTTTCAAAGACCACTTCATTTTCCTTCCCCCCAAGTCCTTCCTGCTTCTTCACATATGGAAAGACTAAAATTTCTTCACCAGCACACTATTTACTTCCCCACAAAACCCTTGACAATACTTGAACCTTTGTGAAGATATAACAAGAGCTCTAAAAATAGTGTTTTCCAACAGTTCTTTGCCCATTTTCATATGATCTTACACTGTGAAACTTGGACCACCACACTACAGAAAATTTCCTTTTATTTTTTCATGTCTTAAATTTTTAAACAGATAAAGGATGCAGACCATTTTGAGGTAATGGCCAAATGAAACTTATATTTTTATTTTTTTTGCAATCCACTAACAAATAGGAGAAAATTCATCTTTCGCCTCAGAACAAACACAGATGCATGATTTAGCTTTCAGTTGGATATGAGCAGATTAAAGCCTTTTATTTGAGCAAGACGACTGACACAATAGGTTATACAGGTCATGGAAATGCATTATATTATGGACCGTAACAGCAAAACCAACTTAGGGCAATGATGTAATTTTTACTTAACTTCGTTTACTGTGAATTAACACAAATTTCTAATCACTGGTTAGGCTACTGAGGAAAACAAACAAACAAATATTTAAACATAAAACTGAGCAAACACCTTTCCTCCTCCAGGCCAGCTTAAGTCAAACACTTAGTCTGCCTCCTTCCTAGTCTTATTTTCTGTAGTATTTGCTGCAGGTTACACTCAGTCTGTCCCAGTTCCTTCAGTGAGGCAAAAAGTAGAACAGGAGGTTAGGTATGAGTAATGATTTCTTACCGGTGGTGCCTACACATTCCCTGCTCTTTGGTTATTAGTCTTCTTCCCCTACTTCAGCTCAGGGCTTTCACAGGCCACAGTACTGCTGGAGTGTCCCTGTCCCAGCACAGGTCACCCACAGTCACAGTTGTCTTAGACTCATAGATCCTTAGCATGGACCACCTCCTTCTTTGTATATATCTCCAGCTGTGTCCTCAACAATGTGCCCTTCCATGTCTCACCTGCTCGTCTCCAAGATTTTTTTTTTTTAAGGGAAGCAGTAGTTTAAGAGTAACCAGACTCTGAGAGGAGTCTTTTCTTCAATAAATTATCAAACTAGTTGTAATGATTTGAAAGCAAACCAGTGAGAGACTCCAAGTCAGAAATGCAATTTAATAGGAAAAATAAAGTAAATGAAATAGTACAAAAAAAAACACAGACGGAGTCAGAATACAACTTGACACTCAGTGTGGTGGTAGCAGTCTAGATGAAGTGGTCTTGTTGAACTAGCGATCCTGTAGAAATTTCTGGTAGCTCTTATCCCCTGGAAATCCCATGGGTAAGGGCCCCTTATGCTGTCCTGAACCCCAGATTATATCCAGGTGGGAGGTCTTGGCTCCTCCCCCTGGGCAGAGCATCTCACAATGGGCTGATGTTATTCTGTGTGGTGGGTCCTTGATTGCCCATTAAATGGAGCTAGCTCTTGGAGGGAGTAATCTATGAGTCATGGGGCAAGGCATTGATGGGCCCCTTAACAGAAGATAGTCCAGAGGGAGGAGGCAGGGAATACACTGCCCCACCTGGTTTCAACAGCTCATGAAGATGGTGATAGAATACATAATTTTGGGCATATCTTACATTGTAACCTAGGACACCAGTGTCTCTGTCAAATCTGTAGACTTTAGTGTGCCAAGGAGGTTGAAGAACAGGACTGATGAATTTGAGAACTCCTTACATTCAAATAATTGACTGATACTATGAAAATCTTTCACTTCTGACACTGAATTTAGTCCATCAAATTGGCAAATACACCAAAGACACATCTGCTGTGTATGAAGGGAGAATTTCTTTTTGCTTGCATTGTATAGTGCAAGGTGGTTCAGTGATAAGGAAATATTCGTGTTACAATACCCTGGTACTTTTTAACATCTTTTGGCTTCATGGTTGGTAGAATTGGTCTCTCAATTTCACATAGTATCTCTTTTTGCCCACTCATGAAAATCATGTATTATATAAAATAATATCAAGATTTATTAATAAACTGAAATACATTCACTTAACTTTTCCCCATCAGAAAGTATAAAGAATACAAAGCAGCAGGTATAAAAACACCTAAAAATTAGCTGAAGAACTACACCTTAAACAATCTAGATATAGGATTTATATTTATCAAACAAATTTGTTTTCATTATGTAACATATAAAATGACCATCTCTTTGTCTACATGTACTAATTTACAATGATTACTGTGTCCATTGAAGAGCCATAAACAGGGAGGTAGGACTAGAAATTTTCTTCTGCAGCTGCGAAGCCTTGAGCTAATGGAAGATGTTTCTTTGCTGACATCTACAGAAAGACTCAGCTACAAGAAGCTACAGAAAGAAACTGCTTCTAGCCGTCAATTAGCCAGTAAGGCACAACTTTAAACTGTTATCTCTCAACTCCCGAGCCTCCAGTTTTCTTCTTTTTTGTTTTTTTCTTTTTCTCTTTTAAACAACTGAAGCCATAGAACTTGTGAAGCAATTAATAAACATAGCTCTCTTTGTGTAGACCCTTTTATCCTCTCAGTGGGACATCCAACAGAGGGCAACATCTCACATTTATACCAAGCACAACACACCAAAACACCTCCTAATGAGCAACCCCTACTCATTGCTCTTTCCCAGAAATACAAGTCTGCAGGGAAATTGTGGCAGCAAGCCAGGCTTCCATTTTTCAAAACCACACTCTTTTCAGACTTATATAGCTGGGTAAGAACTTGCCTTAGTTTTTTTATTGAATTTGGGAATTGTAAATATATTCAATATGTGCATACACAAAATGAAAAAAAAAGCTTTCTTTTCTAACTTTGAACTAGAGAAATTTATGTGCATCCCCACTGCATTTGTATTTACTTTGAATGCAGACCAAACTCTGCAACAGAGCTAGAAAGAATACTTTATTGATTTGCATACCAGTTTTGTCCATTTTGCCTTAAGGTGTTCTAAGATAAATTAATCTGAACCTGCAAGGTGCTTATCTACTCAGTATCAAAGGCTACAAAAACCATATGAAACTGTCTGGATGAATACACTGCATGCAAAGGCTATAGGTGTCCCAGGAGTAGGTATCACAACACGCAGGGCTCCAACGGGATGCTGCAGGGCGCTCTGTGTTCCCTGAAGCAATATTCTATGTGGTTTTGTTCTGCTTCCATTTCATTTCTGATTCTTTACAACACCAAGAAGCCACATGAAGATTAAGAACTGAGACAGTGCATTAAACGACAGCAAGCTACTGTACTTAAATGTTTAAGAGGCTGCTGCCCTTCAGCTTCAGGCTGCAACTGTTCAGCTGAAGTCTAGTAATTCATTGATGTGCATCGCTCAAGGCAGCCACAGTCTCAAGTAAAACGGGGCAAACGTTTCAGATTCCTCTTACAATAGGAAAAGAAAAGATAAGAAGTCTAGTTCTTGCTGAAATAAAATTCTGCTTTTTGTTGGGCCTTCTGAGTGTAGACCATCCACACATTACTTTCTGACATTTTTATTTTTGAAAAAAAAAATAGTGTTCCTAAATGAAAACTGTTTTTCTGTTCTACATGTAGTCTGAAAAACGAAGCAACCAGTTTAAATTTTATTATGTTTCTGGCAAGCTTTCCCTATCTTTTCCTTTTCTTCTCTGTGTCTTATTAAATCAGGAGTTACTATTCAGTAGCAGAAAAAAACATAACATCATAACTAGATAACTTAGCTTCTCCCCAGTATAGCATAAGCTTTGAAAAGTTATGGAATAGCAAACAAAAAAAGCCCCAGAAAAACCAAACCAAACCAACCCTTATAAAAATGCATAGCATCTATTCATTTTATTCAGTGGTCAAAATGATAAACAAAAATATAGTTGGGACTGTTCTATTGTATGTATATTTGTTTAATAAAGTAATTATATATATTTAATACCTGTTAATACATATTTTGATTTCCAGCATTCTAGTTATAAAACTGTATTTTGATTTTTCACCTGAGACATTTTTATCCCTCCTGACCCATTTTTGCCAAGTGCCTTTCTAGTTTCTCAAATCAGCTGCCCCCCTGGCATGCCTTTGCATTCCTCGGCAAGAGCTATAGGATATTTGCCAAAAAAAAAAAAAAAAAGGGGGGGCATTTCAAGGTAAACACTCAGGTACTGCACTGAAAAGCACCCTCCTCAAACAATCAGTTAAAATGCAGTAGGTGTCTGAAGCATGTGTGTCTCCAATCACACCATCATAGTTAATCTGTATAGAGATTTCCAACCAGAGATCTCCTGCTATGGGACACTGGATGTGAGTCTTTCCTGCCCACAGATGACAACATGATGCCTTGTCAGCTTTTGCTGGAAAGGCAAGATGCTTTGGCTGTGAGTTGATATGTCCCTTGATATGTCCCTGATACAGTTGTCCAGCTAAGTTTGTCACAGCACACAAAAAACTGAAGCATAGCCTTAAATCTGAGGCACCTGGTGGATGCTTTAGAAGGAATGATAAGAAGATATAAAAATCTGGCAGCAAAGCATTAGGAAGCCTCCAACCAAAGAACTAGTCTGTAACTCCTTCCACTGGTATTGAAGTGGAGCCTGTTTTTCAGCAGCAACATTTACACCACAAAGAAAACCATATCTACACATCAGGTGAGTGATAGCTTAAAAAGGTGGGGACAGTTAACATCAAACTGTTACCTGACAGCAGGAAAGCCCACTGGACAGTTTGACAAGGAAAGGGCTCCCCAGATGAGACATGGCCATCTTGGTGTTCGTCTGATGTGATCCACTGAAGTAAAGAAATGCTCCTGTAAATAAAAGTCAAAGAAAGTGAGAACTATGTCATGCTCCAATGCCAAACAACTACCTCAGAGAGGTAACTATGTGCTGCTCTGTGAGGCACATAAAGCTTATTCATAAATGCAAACAAGTGTAATAGCTTTGCTGTCAGCTCAGTCACTGTTAATAACGAGGAGCATCTTGCAACAGGCTGTGACAACCAGTGTCTGTGTAGGCAAAAACAAAAATAGAATTGCTAAATGCTCCTGCCTCTTTGCTCCACAGTAAAATTAACATGACTGAGTGCAAAGATGAGGAAAGAGGGAGAAGGAAAAAGGGTATTTGGTCAACCATTCAAGGTGCCTGCAAGCAATTAAACTTGAGGAAGTAAATACAGAGACCTGCAAAGGAAGTTCAGATATTTCTTCTGTGAGCGCTTTACTGTGCAAACCTAATGGATGTATTTCTTTATCTGCCCTCTTCAGAAAAAAAAAAAAAACAAACTTCCATCCACCAAATACTGCAACTACTTCCCATAAACTTCCACTCTCTGCACAGGCTGGGGAGAGCAAAAGGACTGCAGGAGCTGCAACACAGAGCACCCTGGAGATCAAACGGCATAGACCTTAGCCAGTATCCCTAAAGGACACATTTTAATTGGCTTAAATAATGTTTCAAACAGAATTTACAACAAAAAATAATTTCCTTTAGGGTACAGTATTCATACTCAGCCCAGCCCAGCCAGTTTTAAGCATGCTAACAATGTTGCAGACCATGGGAGCCAATGGAATAAGCTGTGTTTTCTCATGGGGTCCACAGACTTGACGTCGTTGTCTGTGCTAGTGGGGATGAAAGCTTAATTAAAGATCTAATCTGAACTCTAGCAAATGAACTGCCTTTGGATTTGAACTACAGCAGATGTGCTTCAAACAAAGGTAGGGAAGAATAAATATCTTCAAGGGGCCCAAATGCAGCATATTTTGAATGCTGTTCATGCTGGCTTCACTGAATACTGAGACTTTTTCACAAAAGTCTATGCAAAATAACACTAAAGGCTCAGTCTTGTTTGCACATTGATATTACACATATTGACTTACATGTTGGAAAGTCAGCTATTGTGCTGTCACAGTCATACTCCTTAGCTATATATTTCCCATGGGTACATAATGAAGCAGAGGGTTAGGTCAAGCCCCACGTGAATAATTGCATCACTTCAGCAAGGCTGGCACAAAGAGGAGACCATTACAGCTCTTTGTACAAACAGGCCTGCTGCACTCCACAGCGTGAGGGAAGCTCCCCTCATTGGAATGCCAGGGTACTTCAAAGGATCCACTTTTAATTTGCAGCTGAGGCTCTACAGTACCCTTGTTAAGAACTTCATTAATCAAAATTTGCTGCTGCCCTCCCCAGGCGAGAAGAGATGAACGCTTGATAGTGCCGCAAGCAATGGTTGCAACTTGAGGGACCTTGGTTTAACACTGACAAAAACTTGCTCAAATTCTAGAAGTCTAATTCAAAAGTTGTGGTGTGGTTGTAGCAGGCATAGTGATAGATGGGTGCTAAGCCACCTCAGAAAGAGTCTTTCACTAACTTATATGAAAAATGCATGGTTACTGGTCTGGAGAGGTGCTGCTTGATGATCTCAAGACCTGCTCAAGGCTTCAGCCTGTAGCAACATATAAAGATGTGAACCTGACTTGTAATGATTCAGGTACCAAAACAGCTTAAGTGCAGCAGCGCACAGTTGCATATGGTCTAATTTAAGATGCTGCTTAGGTTGCAGAGCCCACGTTTCTGCCAGAAGATTTCATTATGACCATATTACACATTAGATCTCATCAGCATCCAGAGTCACTCACATGGGAAAGACACAGATTATCAGTGCCCTTCTCTGGAGCTGTGGGAGTTTGGAAGCTGTGACACAGTGATGTTTGCAGGCAATGCAGTAACACAGATCCCAAGCCACTCTTCAGAGACAATGAAATATCAAATAGCTGCTGAGAAAATTATTAACAACTTCAGTGCATTTCATCATTTGGGGATCAATGGTGAAAAAAAAGCACATGATTGTGTAGTTTGGTACTAGGGTTTGCTCAGGCAAATTTTAATCCTGGGTTTTGTCTACCTTTGAATGCTCAAGATGTAATGCTTAATATTTCACATTCCTTTAACATGAACATGGTAGCGTAGTGTTGAAGTCCGGCTGTAAGATAATCTATATCATTGAAAAAAATTAAAGGAGTATTAAATTGTAACCCAGAATTTAAAGTAATCTAATCTCCACTGGAAGCAGTGTGGTAGACACATTTTAACAATATTAAAGTCATAGAATATTTATCAGTGTTATTTAATAATGACAAACACTTCAGAGCTAAACCATACAGTTTTAATTTTATGCAGTATGCTGTAATAGAATTTTTAGTTTGGAAAAATATTTTAAAATGGTCCTTTACTAGAAAAAAAAAAAATTCCAGCTGAATGAATTGTATTGCAACCACAGGCTGAAGGAAGAACAACTGTTCAAATGATATTACACTTTATTTTTTCCAGACAAAACTCATAAATTTACCTGCAGTCTGCAAAAAGCTACAGTGATATTTTGTCCAAATAATATTTTCCAGAAAGGCATCTGTGTGAATATTGGGTACAAAGATGTTTATGATACGCATGAGAAAAAGTTAAGCTATGCTAGTTCAAAAGTCAACATTTTATTATCAGTCTGTCAGCATTTACAAGTAGAAATACTCATCACAGAAGGAGGAAAAAACAGTAATACATCTCACCATGTCCAGTATTAGCTCTGTGACCTCTGCTAGAGAGTGTCCCACCGAGGGGAGCCTGTTCTTTCCTGATGTTCCAGTCAGCATCACCTGTGCTTAGTGGCTTCCAGCCACAGAGGTCAGTCTCGAAATCACATACCGTGTCATTAGCTGGTGTAAGAAGAACAGGAAGAGAGCAAGAAATTGAATCTGATGCAACAGTTTAATGCCACAACTATGACTATTTTGGATTTGGATGTATAAGTAGTCTTAGAGAAGTGCTGGCACGTTTCACTGAAATCCAGATTATTCAGATGGACAAGAAATTTTAGAAAACAGGTAACAGATCAGGTAGGCTCTTCCCTTCTTAATCAAACTGAGAACTGTGAAGGAAATTACCTATCAGAGTATAAACCGTGTCTTATTAAAGATGAGACGTGTACATAGGCTGCTGATAGATGATGAAAGTAATATATTCTTTTAAAACATGAATTCTATCAGTAAGTTAATAAGGAATGTGTGGGGAAAAAATAAAATGTATTTATTGCTTTAAATACACTGAAAGTAAAGATGGATTAAGCTTCCTCCTCATTTATTTTTGAAAATTATATTTAGATTTATAAATTATTTTGGTCTCCTAGAAATTTTTATTGTAAAGTAAAAGACCATTTTGTCAGTTGGTATGTATTATACTAACTTAAACTGTAAAACTGTCTCACATCCTCTTCCATTTCTTGAGTATAATTATTTTGATAAGAATATAATCTCATCTAAGTATTTTCCTTCCTATTCTAGAACAGCTTCACAAAGCACTACACTTAACTCTTTAAGTCACTTATCACTACTGTAAACCTTACTTCTGAACTGTACTTGGCACTTTCCAGACTTCATGGCACATTTATCCTATCCTATCAGCCTCAGATGTGATTATACATACTACTCCAGTTTTCAGATTATACAAAACCAAAACAAAATTCATCTTTGTTGAAGCACCATGGCAGTAAAACTCTATAGTAAGGATCTTCCTGGTATAAAGAGGTTAACTAAGCAGCTAAAACTTAAGGTAAAAGTAAAAAATCACAAATATCAGTATCTCTTATATGGATTCAGTATATACAATAAAATTCAATGAAGCTTGCTTTTCTGTTTAGTGCAGTATATTAGTTAAACATGAAACTTGGTTAACTTAATTACAGAATTTTTATGCTTTTGACAAGCTACCTTTTTAATTAGACTTCGGTGCTAATATATTAAGGGAGAATATGCAAATTGATATCCAAGACTAAGCTGATTTGCTGCATGGTAATTAATACTATGCCTAGGCATTGTGCTTTCCTTACCTAAGCAGTCTTGAAAGAACCATTCTTTGTTTTAATATCTCTTTCCTCTCGCCTCCCTAAGCCCTGCAAAAGATCTTCTGCATGAGAAGCTGACTGCAGTGGTTACATAGTGATATCCAAAAAGACACCTATAAATGACCATATAGACAAAGAACTTAACTCTGTTATGTACTAAGCAACCAAGAACCTCTTCCTGGAAAGAAATTGCCAGACCAAAGTTAAAATAATGGTTCAAATATGGAAGAGAAATCAAGATGGTGCTAATGATTAATATTTTAGAGCTCAATAAGGTATTTATCATGAGAATATTTTTCAGTGTGTGTTTTGTTTGTTTGTTTGGGTTTGGGGTTTGTTTGTGGTTTTTGAGGGGTTTTTCTGCATTTTTTGTAAAATGAGGAGAGCTGATCTGTGTGGCAGTACCCAAGCTCCTATGGAATTTGAGTTGTAAACTATCTGTATGATCAGTGATCAAAGCACCTCTATGTTATTACTTTGTCATTAATACTTTGTCATTTTTGGCTAGCATTTAATATCATTTTGGGAACAGAGAGGGTTATGCCTATACCTTCTTACTGACTATATGTGCACATTCCCTACCAGTTTATGACTAGTTTTATCTAGAATTTTTTAAAGGATTCGTGCAGAAAGATCACAGCTCACCATAGGTCAGCTAGCCTGAGCTTCCATATATTGTAAGTCTTTAGACAGATCTCTTGGTAACACCCTATGTCCCTTAGGTGAGACAGCCTCGTCTCCTGAGATGATGGCTTAGGGTTAAGAGACTAGTGATGTTATGAGAATCTCATGTTGACTCTGGATCTGCAGAAGGTACCCTTACTTGGGTTAACTGTTCTGGTAAAACACAAAAGCAATGCTACACACTGTTTATAAGAAATGAAGTCTCTGGAAATAATATGAGTGTAGCTTCTTTTTCTCCACATGTATGTACAAGATTTATGGACACATACTGACAATTCCAGACAATTAATGTGTCATAAGAAGCACATAAATGTGTGCTAAAAAAAAAATATGTTTCAGGCTAAAAAAACCCAACTCTTTTGTGCTTTTAAGTTGGATGGTAATAAAAGGATTTACATATGTCTCCATTTGCTGTAGAAGATTTCAAGGATTTACAATTGTGAATTGCTAGACTGTAAATGAAATGCAGTAAAAGATACACTCCTGTAAAATTATACAAGTTTCCTTCGTTCTACACATTTTCTATTCATAAATTATAAAAATCCTATGAAAGGCTGAGAATATTTAAGCTAATAAAAGAGATGCAAAATTAAAACCAGAAGAATTAAAGACAGGTGGTTTAAGGAAGCTTCTGATTAAGATAATTGAAAGTGATGTTCTCTCAAGAACAACTGTAGGATGTCCAACCCCACAATCATTTTGAGTCTACGTGAATGCTGATAAGCAGCTAATTTCCAGAAACACTACTGTTACCAATTCACGATATCACTTGAAAATATGAACCGCTTCCTAGACTTCTTGCCAAGGTGCTAGGATTGCTAGCTACTAATTCATTGGTGATGTTATTTATATGTATTATGCATGCATGTGTAATGTATAATAATAGAATGCATAAAAATATTAAGCATAGTGCTGGAAATATTTGGTATGCATGGTATTTAGTGCAAAACTTCCTTCATACTGGGTAGGAAATAAATTAAAAGCATCAACATGAAATCACTAATTTAAGAACTGTATCTCACTTTCTGTTTTGAATATATTAACTAGGTTTTGATAATTTATTATCAGTTACTGTGAAATAAGAAACTTAGAAAGGATCTCAAATAAGTGCTGTCAACTAAGACAATGAAAATGCAGAATTTAATGCTAAAAACATTAATTTCATAATTTGTCACTTCATTAGTGATGTTGATTCCAACAAAACCACTTAGGCAAAGGTGGTTACTCATTTGCATAGGTGTTTCCCAGACATGTTCCCAACTCTTCAAGACTTAAGTCTCATTTATTTAAATATATATTTATATAAATGGGCAGAGATTAAACTAAGATTAAGAACCAGTGTAAAAAAAAATGTGTATTTATTCTTGCAATAAAATGTGTTATTGTAAGATCATTCATGACAAATTAACATGAGCAAAGAGAAACATTATTTTTCCTTCCCCATTATAACGAAGCAAAGAAAATCCTCAAAGAGGATCACATTAAGTAACAGCTCTGTCTTTCTTTTCATTCAGTAGAACTGTCAGCTCTCTCAGTACATTAGAGTACTTCATCAAAGAAAACTACTGAGGATGTGTCCAAAGATAGATGCTGAAATACATAACATAACAGACATTATTTCTTTTAAGATTAAAAAAAGGTTTTTTTCTTTTCTTTCTTCTCAGCCAGTAGTCAGAGCAACATGCAAATGCTATGGGTTACTTATATATTAGAAAAGCTCCTTTTTCACCCTCTTTTGAGAAGAGGAATTTATTTTTGTGCAGTGCTCCAACAAAATGATAAATTTTCAATATGCAAATGCCTCAACATAGAATGAAGCACACAATCCCTATGTCTCAGGTACAACTGCGTGTAATAGTTTCTTTAAATTGAAATACACGAGGAGTTAGTGAAGAATCAGTACCATGCAGAAAAACAAAGTTAACTGCAGAGGAATCCACAGACAGTGGAGCACTAGGCAGAGCTATCAAAGAGGGTTCAGTCATTGTTCCAGCACCCTAATTCTGGAGATGTCACAAAGGACAGTGTCAAGATTTCCAGGCCATACTGACTTTTCTTTCTTCTGCTCATCTTCAAGTTTTCTTGACCCATCTACCTGAGCGTGACAGATGTAGTATGTTCAAGAGTGAGTTCCACTGTGAACTTTCTTTAAAATACTGACTATATCTAAGTTATTTGCTAAACTTTTGGTTACTCAATATCAGTGTTCAGTGTCTGAGACACAGGGGTAAAAATAAAATATGAAAGTGTAATGCTTTGCATGCAAACTATAATAACCTGTAAGTATATAGTTATCTTAGTTTTCACTTTATGTAGTACCTTTAACAGCTACTATTCAAATGAGACAATTATTTTTTATCCTCCTTTTAAACCTTGAAATTATTCTTCTGTATTCCTTGTCACTCATCACAATTTTCTCATGTTTTTACTGAAGTGGGAAAGCTAAATTGTTGAGAAATAAAGTCCAATTTATAAAACACTATTCAGTTTAATTCCATTCCATCTCCCAAAGAGGATGAGAGGACTTTCTGCACTCCTGCCAGCAAACACACAGAGATAGCAGCAAACAATCATGTCTTATAAAAATGGAAAACAGATCTCAGAGATGGAGCCCCCATAGACTTTAATGTTAGCTTAGATTCCACTCAAAGATAAAAAAGTATAAACCTTCTGATCTAAAATGTTATTTCAAAATTTGCACATACTACTTGTTTCAGAGATGGCTCCTGTGTGGTTATTTAAGTAATTGAAAAGATTAAAGGATCAGATTGTGGGCTTTAAAACAAAACAAAAAACTCATGGTCACAAATGGTCCCTAAAGTCTTCTCAAGAAATCTGAAAATAAACATTATTAGTGTTCACCCTGCTATCTTAAGTGACACACAAAATTTTAATTTACACCTCTCAGCAGCAATATATGTTCACCATTATCTCAAATATGTGCACAGCTTTCAGCTGCAACACATGTAAATATTACTACCACAGTCAAAACATACATATAAATGTATACTGTGTAATATTAATTTTAGAACCAATAGGGACTCTAAAGCTGCTTTCACAGGGAGATGTAAAGTGTTTCAGAATTATTATAAACATCTTCCACTAATTTTAATTATTTTCTTTTACTCTTGATTGTACAGCAGAAACTGTTGCTGCCAAGCAAAGCTACCTTCAACTGAAAAATATAATGAATAAGATGTAGCTTCTGAACTGTAGCAAATGTGTATGGTGAGTTGTACCACCATGCAAATATCATGCCACTTAATGTATTTTCTGAAAATAACTCACAGTCTAAATTAGAGAAGTGTTAAAACAACAAATCCCAGGCAGATTTGAGTCCTTCTCAAATTAGGGAAGTACAGGTTATAAACATTGTATATAGGGAATACATTTAAGAAAAAAATGTAACATATTACATTTCTGTAGCTATTGAAAAAATCACTGTCTGGATCTAAAACACATTGCTGAGGCCAGACAGAGAAACAGAAAGCAATGGGAAGAATTAAAATGAATGACAGAAAATGCTGTGAACAATGTCACTAACCAGTACATCACTATTCTGGGAGAAGGAAGCTATATAAATAATAAGTTTTCTAGCCGTTTATTGGGTAAACCTGTTTAGATTTCAGCACTTTTTTTTTTGTTTACTTTTCAGCACAGTGTCCTTCTAAAGCAATACTTCTACAGGAGCACTTACAGCAAGCTGCTGAGTCCTCATCACTACTGGTGAACTTTTCTAAGGAGTAGAAACCTGGTGGTTCTGATGGTGTAGAGTCCAAGAGCTGGATGGTATTCAGACAGACAAAACCTTCCCTGGTCTGGAATGTTCCTTTAAACATAAGCTGTGGATTGTTACAATTAAAATATTTGTATTAAGAACCAACAGAGAGAAACTTATTTTTATTCACATGAAACATTGAAGTTCTATATTTAAAAAGCACTGCATACTTTCCATTATTAATCCATGACTAATTTCAAATCAGAAACTCAAATTTTGTATGCCTGTCTCAGATTAAAACTTCAGAAAATTTTCAGCTAAAATGGTTTCAGAACTTCCAAGAATGAAATTAGGTAAAAGCCTATTTTAAAGAAAAACTCCTTGTCTCATAACCAGTTGGCTAAAAAGTTGTAACGCCCCTGTGCTTTAGAAGAGCAACCTAAATGTAGTACCCTAAAGACTCCATGCTCTGCTCTGAAGTCTCTTCAGAATCTCAGTTTGCAGATGCCTAGGAGAAAAAAATTCACTAACACTGAATAAAATTGGTAAGGGGCCGTCCTGGGACACCATTAGACACAGCATAGCTTAACATCTTATACCTGTTTCATCACTGGAGCTAAAATGGCGGCATCTAGTCTATGCCATGGGGTTGGTCCCTGCCTGCTGGGAACCCTTGAACTGTTCCAAGCACTGCCTGGGAAATGGGCAATTTGCTTGGGTCAAAATCTTGCTAGGGTCATACTCATGTTTTAATTATAGGGGCTATCACATCAAACCTGGGGATGTTCCCTAGTCCTGCTTTTGTTACTGCTATTGGCATAGACATAGAGATTCTGGAGAGCAGTCCTGTGGAAAGGGACTTGGACGTGCTGGTGGATGAAAAACTGGACATGAGCCACTAATGTGCAATCGCAGCCCAGAAGGTAAATCACATCAAACGACCTGTGGCCAGCAGACCAAGAGAGGTGATTCTGCCCCTCTACTCTGTCCCGGTGAGACCCCGCCTGGAATACTGTGTCCAGTTCTGGAGCCCACAGCACAAGAAGGATGTAGACATATTGGAGCGAGTCCAGAGGAGGGCCACCAAAATGATCAAGGGATTGGAGCACCTCTTGTACGAAGACAGGCTGAGGGAGCTGGGGCTGTTCAGTCTGGAGAAGAGAAGGCTCCTGGGGGACCTTATAGTGACCTTCCAGTACTTGAAGTGAGCCTACATGGAGGTGGGGGAAGGTCTGTTCAACAGGTTTTCTAATGGTAGGACAAGGAGTAATGGTTTTAAACTAGGAAAGGATAGATTTAGACTCGATATTAGAAAAAGATTCTTTAGTATAAGTGTAACAAATCACTGGAATGGGCTGCCTGGAGAGGTAGCGGAGGTCCCAACCCTGGAGTCATTCAAGGTCAGGCTTGATAGTGCCTTGGGTGACCTGACCTAGGTAGAGATGTCCCTGCTTGGGTAAGGAGGTTGGACCAGACGACCTCTAGAGGTCCCTTCCAGCCTAAAATGTTCTATGATTCTGTGATTCAATGAGTATTTATTGCTCTGACAGTTCTCTTGCACTGACCGGATTTTGCACAAGCTGACTTAGAGCAATTAAGTTTCAGAACATCTCCTGCTCCAACCCACTGTGAAGCGCAGCTCTGCTGGGTCTCAAAACATGATTACACCACTTCTATTCTCCAAGTTTCATTAACTTGAGCTAAATCCCAACACAAAAACACTGCACCATGAGGGCTGCAATGGGAAAGTCAGCTCAGCAAGACCAAATATATTGCTGAAATGCATTTATTCTAACAGACATTAAAACATCAATTCCTGCAGCTGGCTTAGTCTTGGACCTTTCATGGATATTACATTTTCAGCTGATTTTTGAGACAGTAAATTATGACAGTTATTTACAGAATTATGAAAAACAAATGTAAAATTACTTAAATACTTGCAACTACTCAGTTCTTAAATTATTTTATAACTTTGCATTCTTCTCTATGCCTGAAAATTCAAGGGGAAAGATATTCTCTCACAGTTACTGGTTTACATCACTTCATAGAGATCTTACAAACATTATTCACATCATGTCACTTAATAGCATTTATATCTAAATGAGTTGGTAACTCATGAGACAGACTCATAACTAAATAAAATATGGTGAAATTTGTGTTAATTTTATTGCATGTTGTTAAAGACCAGCAGCTTCAACACATGATGTTCATGTAGATGGTTTGTTGAGCTATAATCAGGGCTTTACTCACTTTGAAGCAAGGAAGAAGACCAAGACCTTCAGGATACATATCATTTAAAGAAGTTTCCTAGAAGTCTGATGAACAATAAGGTAAAGCATTCCAAAAGTTGGGCACATGCCTTTTTAATTCATACCTTCAATTTTTCCATCCCTGTTGGTAGCTGTATATCCACTTTGACCCATTCCTTCTTAGTCATAATGTTGGTCTCCCACAAGATATGTTCCTTCTGTAAAAAGGAGAATGGGATGTTATAAAGTTATTTTTTGCTCCTTTATAAATTATCAAGGCCATTTTTTATCCTCAATTTTTTTCATATTCTAGCCAAAAGACTGCTATATAGAAATTTTCTGGAGGTGAGGAAATAAAGCTTCACATACTCATTTACAGTCTTTCCACTCTGTGGCAGAAAACAAGACAGGTTTATTGTGATTAAACAGGCCAATAATACAATTATCAGGAGTTGGCTTGTTAGAATTAAAGTGAATTAATAAGTAAATTAAGCCATGTTATTGCTGAATTTAACAATATGTTTTCACAGTGCTCCCTATATTAGTTTCTTTTTCATAAATAACTTTTTATATTATGTTTGTTATAATTAGATTTAGTTTTCTTAGAACTGAAATTGGGGTCTGTCAAAATTACCCAATCAACTGTGCTAAAAACTTCTTTTTTTTCCCTCTGTAAGGCAAGCAGGCAGAGTACTACCTAACAAGTCCTAGTCATGTTCTGAGTTACCTGAACCCCCATTTTCACTCCACCTCCTAAGAATAACAGCCAAAGTGCTAAAAATGGTAAGGCTCCCTTTATGCAAGCACTCCAAGTCCTTTTTTATTAATAATCTGACAAAGACAGCTCGTGCTCATTCTGCTTCTGGTCATAATCCTAACTGGGATATGCTAAATCCAGCACAAAGTAAAGAAATGTAGCAATAAGAACTCCATATTCCTAAATAAAATCTTTTCAAGAATCAGTTATGAAACAGAGTAAAACTGAAAAAGAGGGGGAAAAAAATGCAGGAAAATTTAATATAAGCTATAGATACAAACCAATCCTATCATTACAAATATCAATAGTGAGACCCGTTTTGGGATATTATGCAAGGTACTGTTGATAGTTTTTCCACAAAGAATTACAGAATTAGAGGCTTTTCAGCAAGAGATGTGAAACAGGATAAAAGAAACAGAAAGTCTCTTTTATGGAGAGAAATTGAAAGCATAAAACCAGCTTTACTTGCAGGAGATGAATAAATCTCCTGTATGTGGGTGATATGTATGTGAAATTTTATCATTATTGACAGGGACAGTTACTTTTTCCCATGTCTTACAATAAAAAAAAAGAGGAGGAAGATGCTGCCTACTGCTTAATAGACTGGGAGGTCTGAGCCATCAGAATAACACTGATATGATTTGTGAGGAGTAGTCAATTACTTACACTCTTTTCTTACCAAGGCTTCAGTTGTTATGACATATTACCAAAGTGCAACTAAATCTTTATAGAATATGTGTTCAAAGACTAGTTTTGGAGAACTGCAAGACAGGGTCAAGCCAATACCCTGATTTCAAATACTAAATGACGAAAGAGATCAAATTTGGGTAAACCATGTGACATACTTGATTTCAGAAACAAAAGTCAGCTGTGAGTATCCACATCAGTATAGGATATAAGTATTTCTCAACTTGCTTATGTGATGATATTCAGCAAAAGTCTCATTGTCAATGTGTAAACTTGCTCCGTTGTGCTAAATAATTCAGCTTCCAAAGAAAATTACTAACAATAGCCTACATTAGTTACATAGAAGACACAGAAAAGGATGATGTACTAGAAACTTTACTGCATGGTAAGCTAAAACCATATTCTGTGGTTAAGTGTCTGCTCTTAGAAATATTTTAGTTATATATTCCCCCACATGCACCACGAACCACCCAAATGAGTTTTTATACCTTGTGGGAACACTCTACATTTGCTGCTTATTTGATTGGGTACTATAATTTTGTTGACATTCAAATCACAGCTTACATACCCATCTCCATGACTATGTTTCTCCCACATTTATTTTAATAAAAACAGCTTGTAGCAGCAAGCAAGTTTTCTGTGCATATGCCAGTATCCAGGACTGTTTTTTACACTGCAAGCTGTAAATCTCTTCAGATGTAACAAAGTTTTAAACCAGCTATTGTTTAATGCATCAAACATCACTCTCTGATTTAATACAGCTCTAATAAACCAGTAATATTATTTTCCTTCCTCAGACTGTTTTCTCTGTAGTGTTTCTGCTTATCAGATACTTCCACCTCTTTTGTAAAAATGGTTAACCTCTATAGCACATTCCTTGTGTCTCTAGCCTTCTTTTAAAATGTTGAATATATTGCTTTTCTGGTATTTTCCCTTGAGATTTATTTTGGTGATGCAGATATTCAAAATACCTTCACCTGATTCCACTTACTGTGACATATTACTATCAACAAACAATTTTTTGGTAAAGTTAAAACAGGTGAGAATTGTTTCCTCCTCTTACAATGTTGTTTTTTTTTTCTGAGATAACGGTACTCAGATTTGAAGGATTAAAGAGACAGTTATGACTTTCTTATCAACTTAATTTATAGAATACCTTTTCTTATTTTTGACATTTGTCTACAGATACATTCACTGCTGTAAAACTGTCCCTGTTTATTTCATTTCAGAGAGTAATTTGGAACAAATATTTGTTAATATTTAGTTAATATTGCCAAATATGAATGCAAATGCAGACCATAAAGGAACACTATTACAAATATGTATAAGCCAGAAGTGCTGAAACGGCAAGGGAATCAGGAAGTTTTAAGTAAAGTCTGCATAACGGCAGGAATATCTTACTATTGGTAGCTAACTCTGAGAACCTGAAGAGAATGTGTGAGAAACTAGAGAACTTGGAAAACAAAGGATATATATTATGGTTAAGGGAAAAATACAGACTATGCAATTATAATAAATCAGTTGAATTTTTGAACCTCATAAGACACTGGAAAAGCTTACTAACAATAATCTTGTAAGCAGCCAGAGAATTAGAAAGTGAAGAACCTACATTAGCTGCTTCTGATGGGGAGCAAGACATATTCAGCCAGTGTGACCTTTTTTTCACCCACCTACTTGAAAAAGTAGAGAATACTTTATTAAGACTTCTAACATAATGTGGTAGAGCGTTCTTTAAGCAAACTGAGGTGATTTGGTGTATATGGAATTACTGTAAAAAAGGTGTACAAATGGGCGTACAAATAGGAGTGCAACATTCTTAGAAGAGGAGCTGTCAATAGTTTTCTATCAAAGAAAATTATAATAAGGTTCTGCATAGGTCTGTTCCAGGGCATGACATAATTATACTGCTGACTGACTGGATAGTGGAATGAAATATAAAATTTTTAAAATGTGGATTACACTAAACTGGGAGGAATTACAAATACTTAAAATCATCTCAGCATACAAAAAACAGTTTCATACCAATAACACAAAGTTCAAAGACATATGAATCACAGTTAGGAAAGAAAAATCAAATCATCAAATGTAGTAGTATTAATGAAGGGCAACTTTAAGTGAGCAGCAAAACTGGAAAAGCTGCAAATTATCACTGACTGCAAGTTAAGTCAACAACAGGTTACTGTTGACAAAAAGAGTCCTTTTCCCTATACTTCTTCATACCCTTGAGCAATTTAAATCTTCTGTCTTTCAGCTGATGCCATAATGTCTGTATTAGAAAATATGTTCACTCATCTTTGGCCTCTCCGTTGAAAGGGTAAGGAAGGTTAAGGATACACTTGTGACATTTCTGGTGCTTGTCCTCTAAGAACAGTACTGAAAGTGTACATTAAATATAAACCATTCTTCATTTACATCAGGCCTATCTGTGCCGGAACATAGTAAGAGTTATTCAGAGATAAGAGGTTCTGAAATTAGTATTCCTATTCTTTTTCAAGGTTGCTATGGATGTCATACATGGGGATTTAATGATAACTACTATTGCAC